TGGAGATTAATCACTGAGTTCCTTTCACTGCCATGTCTTATTATCCAAGAGTAAAAAGAACAAGATGACTTTCATAAGTAGGCAACACAGAACGTCAATAAGTATAACCAAAATGTTTGGGGTTCAATACACAGTAGTGTTGCTGGTCTCTCCATTGTTTTCCTCTTCCCAATACCACCGCCCCATTCCCAAGAACTTCGCCCCCCCATCTGGGCAGGGCGACAAAAGGGACCCTTCCTTTCTGTAGCAATGAAGCAGTATCAAGATATTGGTTAGATCCCGGTGGTCCTGAGCTAAACATGAGAGGATACTACTCAATTGTAAGTTCTTGCCTAGTGGACTAGTCTTTCGAGCATCGAGTGGTCCAAAGCTCCACCTTTTGCTCTTTTGATATCCAAATCTATTTTCTTTTCTTCTATCTGAGCCTTCTGCTGCCAAAAATAGGATCCTCATTGATCCCCAATATCAGTCCGCTAGCCATTCAGCAGAGATAAAACGTGTCTATTGAGATTGTTCTCAAATTTCCTATCTTTTTTGGAAGGGGTTGTTTCACGATGTGACATATCATTAGTTTATAATAATCCCGAGTTCATCTGTTTGCTAGTTGAAGGGGTTGCAACGAATTGCCCTTTGGATGCAGTTTCACATTCTTAGGCGCCCAAAGCTTACAAAAAGATCAATCGGACATTCCAATGTAACTAGTATTTTCAAGAGATACGACTGTAAGGGAAGAATGTGAAAATCAGTCTCCTGTTTCAATAACTCTGTGGGATTACCTTGAGGTTAGAGTGTGATTATAGAAATCCATTTCTTCCAATTCAATGATCCAAATGCAATCTAGTAAATTAAATTGATCAAAATACTTATTAAGTTTTTATATTTATATATTTTGTTTAATTTAATCATTGTACTCAAAATCAAAATAATTTGGTTTTTTGATTTTGAGAATTGTCTCAATTTAGTCTTTTTTTTAATGGCATTTAATTTTGTCATTAAAGGAATGATGGTAGCGTTGACGGGACACACTTTGATGATGTGGTACTAACATGATGAAGTAGTAATATCATGTGGCACTAATATAATGGTGTGTCACGTGTTGGTATCAAATTTTTTTTTAAAAAAAAATTGTATCATGTCATATGGATTAAATTAAATAAAAATATATAATATAAGGATTAAATTGAATAAATTTGAGATGTTAATAAAAATATGTATAAATATTTTCTTAGTTGATTATTTGATTTTAAAATCTATACATTAACTTATCTTTTTTTGTAAAAAATTAAGTTTGAATTCTCTTTTTATAAAAAAAATTTTAAATTTCAAACTTAAAGTCAAATTTAGATGAATAATTAGCATTATGTTGAAATGAAATAATTTAAAAAGACTAAATAAATTTTTTTTCTTCTATTTATAATAGCATATAAGTTTGAAATTTATTGGATTTAGTTTTTAACTTAAGCTGAACTCAAATACAGTTTTTAATTTAAGAAATTTTAACATAAAAAATATAACCTAAAATATTAAATAAAATAAAAATATAAAAAATAAGTAAAAAAATTAAAAACATCTCAATTATAAAAAAGCACTCGAGTATTTGATTCATTGATTAGTACATTCTCCTCTTAAGTTTGAATTCCCTCCCCCAATTATAAAAAAAATAAAAATATCTCAATTTTGTTCAATTTAATTCCTATATTATATATTTTTGTTCAATTTAATCCTTATGAAGAGACACAATATTTTTTTAAAAATTTTTTGATTTGCCATATGGCGTCGACACGTCAGTATGTTAATGTCACGTGGCATTGTCATGTTATCATGTTAGTGGCATTGTCATGTTATCATATTAGTGACATGTCATCCCTTTTAATGGTAAAATTAGATACCATTAAAAGAAATGACTAAATAGTTTCATGAACAACTAATCAAGCTTCATATCCAACATTCTTAAACCTAGTCTCTTGATCCTCGTTTGCTACTTCTATATATTATTTCCTCTGCTTTGTTTACAAGAAACACTCAAATCTTCTTAGTCTTACATAATGACATTTATCTCACAGGTTCCTTAGGGTTTCATTCTATTCATTTTTTGTTTAATTTATTTTTATAATTGAAAGAGAAAGATTCGAACCCTATTTTTTAAATAGAGAGATTATGCATCAACTAATGAGCTAAATACTCGAATGTTTTTTCAACCTTTTTGAACTTGAAACCTTCTTTTCAAAAGTTGAAGTATAATTATCAATACGAGGTATTATCTCAAAACCTTTTAGTCTGACATAATGATACTAATCTCACATGTTCCTTAGGGTTTCATTCAATCCATTTTTTGTTCAACCTTTTTGAACTTGAAACCTTCCTTTTCAAAAGGTGAAGTATAATTATCAAAACAAGATATTATCTCAACCGACATTATACCTAGAATGAAAATGCATATGTGCCTCACAAAGATGTAGGGGCAACAGATAAGCAAGACCCTCTTCTCTGGGCATGATCCACAGACAATAGCCCTACTCTTGGTATATTAATCCAATGAAAACAAAAGAGACAAACAAATTTTTGTTTTGGGTTTTACATTTTGGAACTTGACATCTTCTTTTTGAATCATAAGGAGATATTATCTCAATAATGTAGAAATGAAAATGAATGCATGTGGCTTAGAAGATATATATATGTAGAGGGGCAATGGATAATCTCTAAAGATGCAATGCAGCCTATTACTAGATGAATCATATCAAGTAGTTGACAATCACATTCAAGGATGGATAAAGCTCACTTCTATATATTTAACCATTTCAACAGACAATAACCCCACTTTTGGGTCATTGATTCAATGAAAACAACAATACTAGTAACAATAACTTCAAAGCAGCTTCATTGCCATGTGTCTAGTGTTTTGTCCAGAGAAGCAGCTTCTCTAATTAGATTTTTTGCACTGCTTAAAATCATATATACCAGAGGAGTTCTGGCGTTACATTTGAAGAAAGAAATGTTTGCTATCTGGACCAGAATCTGGAAATTATTTAAGGTTTGTGTCTAGTTGTTCTCTTGTGCTTTCATTTTCCTTCTATTGGCTAAGTGGGCATATACATGTACGACACTTTTTAACTTTCTTCTAGACCTCATCCATTATCTTTAATTTTTCTGTGAAGCTGATGCATCGGTGTCGGTTGCGTACACTTCTTTGTAGATTTCAGTTTGAGAATATGACCCCCTTGTTTTCTTTTTTATAATTTTTAGTAAATTATTTAGAGTTTAAGTTATAATTTGAGATAAGGATGATCCGAAGTTCCATTTTGTGTTTTATATATAAAAAATCTTACTATTATCACATAATAAAATCTTCTCTTTTTGATTATGATTTGACTTTTTAATTTTAAAATTAAAATCGTTAATTTCAAATAATCTGTAATCTAAACCGAATTACAACAACAATATTCAAATTAATCAAGTTATTACATGTCTTAAAAACCACACAAAAAAGTGACAAATCTTAGGTGGTAGTTTCACATGTCAAAGGTAGAGATTAAGATGACTAAGGTCTTGTTGTCACATGAAGATATATACAGATGAACAGATCCACTATTTCCTATCACACTTCCAAATAAGTTAAGGGGGGCACGTGGCCACGATTTGAGACCTTGGTTGACCTTTTTAATTTCTTATAAATTTTGACTTTGTAAATGCTAATTGTTTATTACTACTACTACTACTATTATGCTTCCCCAACTACATGGGGAAGGTGCAAAAGTTCTTACCCATGGTATCACTGGTTTCAACTTTCAATTTTTCTCTCATTTTTTCCTTTGACTTCACTTAGCTCGGAAACATAAACCTTTATGAGTCTAGAAATGTCTACAATTTGTTAAAGAATGCGAAACATGAAATTTCGAAATACTGAAAAAATGGTTTCAAGATATGTATTTAATGTCATTGTTTTTAAAGTTTTATTCTTTATAATCCTTTTTTTACATATATATAATTATTTGAACAAATTTAATTATTTGATCAAACAGAACTTTTGAATGGGTATAATTGTTCAAAGGACTATCTTTTGTTCATTTTCGGTATTATTGTTGAAACTGTCCAACAAAAGTTGAGTTTATTTCTTTAGGATTTGCCTCTAACATTAATTCCATATTTTATATTTTCCTTAATTCAATAGGTATGATAAAAACAATTAGTTTTCAATTGTTATGATTAAAATTAAACCAACAAATAAATAAATAAAACTTTAGACTAGTTGTTGTGGCATGTTGTGCTTAATTGTGATACCAATCCCACTTTGTGGGATGTAGTTAAGATGATTGTGATGAGTGAATTATCTTGACTTCTGTTTTTGGAGCTCTTGCTCGGTGAATACTGATAATTGTCCATGGGATAGGTTGTTTTTTGCTTGCTTGAGGCAGGGGAATGCTGAATAAGGTTGATTTGATCTTATTCAGGTCTGCCTTCATGGATGCACAAAGGGTTTTCCCCCCTACCTGATTTAATGAATTTTGCATACAATTTTCCAAAAAAAAAAAAAAGGAATTGTGATGAGTGAATTACTGCAAAAAGTCAGATTTTGCACCTTTTACAGTCGAAAAATGAACTTGTCACATCAGGAAATCAGCAGTTTTTCTTTGGAATCATTGAATTTTCTGTAACTGCAACAAACTCTAGAAACTTTAGGTGTGGCACTCATTGGTCTTAATCATATATAAATGCTAGCAACATACAAGGAGACACGCAACCAGTTGAAGAAATTCAGTTCAATGTTCCACAATGGCAATTTGATTATATTTTTTTTTCCAAAATTTTAATTATATTTACCAAAGAAAAAGGCTTGGCAGCAGAATTAAATTGCTTAGTCCACAATCCTGTCAAAACTCCAATAGCTTTATTACTGTAAACAATCTGGTCTGGGAGATTTTTTAATTGTGGGGAAGATGAAACACAACCAGTTATAAAGCTACCAAAATGAATAAGAAACAGAAAAAAAGTAGAGAAGTAGATAGCAAGTGAAGCTCTCTAGTTATTAATTTGGAGTACCCTTGGAGACTCAAATACACAAGGAAAGGTTGTTTCTTTTCTTTTTCTTTTTTCCTCTAATTTTCTAATATATGCATGCCAATCTACTTAAACCATAATTTCTTTTTTTTTTTAATTTTCATATTGCAATTTTGGCTAAATTGACTTCATTTCTGATTGTTATCAGGCTTGGCTTTTCTCTTTATCTTCATCAATGCTACCATGGGTTCCTTCTCCTAGATCTTCTAGTTCATCCTCTTCCTCCTCCTCGAAGTCCTCCTCTTCCAAGATTTCATCTTCTGGCTGCACAAAGTGCAGCTTCAAGCGCCCATCTTCCCTACATGCATGCAAGAATTCTTGTGTAGGGATTCTTACCTCTTTCAGCACAAATCTGCCATCTTGCCTGTAAGACTTGAAGCAAACCCAAGGCTTCCCACTCTTTCCAATACAGGAAATTGGTGGTGGGAATGCTCCTCCACTAGTTCTTGGCCTCCTGAATTCACCACATAAATTCTCTGTTGTGGTATGCTTTGTAGTATTAATGCTACTTGCTTTCTCCTCTTTGCCTTGCCAACCTTCTTTCATCTCATTTTTCAAGTCCTCAACATCGTCAGAGCTTTCGAAACCAAGCCCTTCAGTGCATAGCTGTAGGCTCTCAGAGTTCAATGAAAAGCTTTCACTCTTCTTGTGGCAATTTGTGTACGTGGTGATCTTTGGGGTGCTTGAAAAAATCTCTGGTGGTGAACTTCTATTATCGTTTTCATCATTTTCATTGAAAGTATCATTCTTGGAGAGCTTGAATGCACTGTTTTGAGGACTCAAATCTATTATAGATGTGGAAGAAAAGGGTGAGATAGGAAAGGAAGAGGCTGAAGATGGTTTGGAATTTTCCTTGAAATGAAGTTCACCAAAGATTTCAGTGAAAGAAGATGGCTCGATAGGTTTAATAGCAGGCTTGATTTGGTTCCACGAGGAGAGGGATTCAAGCAGAGTCGGGTTTTCCGGTAACGGGTTTTCAAAGATGTGTTGAAGGCTTCCACAGGCAGCCATGGCTTGGCTCTCCAGTATTCTCTTTGAGAGATGATACTTAGAGAGAGAAAAAGAGAAGAAAAAAAAGAGCAAGCAAAGCAAACAAGAAAGAAGGAAATATAAAGAGATTTCAAGTTCTCCTTTGAGGGTAAAGAGATGGGGAGGTAGAGAAAGAAACACGAGATGGGCATGGGGTTTGGAAAAAATCAAAGGGAAGGTGACTATTAATTTGGGGAAGTTTTGCTGATTTGGGTACCTCTTCTAGTGGAGTAGAATAAGGATGGGTGGTTATCTAGCTATGACTCAATTTGGTGGCCATTATTGTTTTGTTATATTTCCAGCAATTCTTAGTATATGTAACTTACTATTCTTGGTGGATGGTAGGTTTTTTCATTCTAGTTTTGAGAAAATGATTTAACATGTACAATTTTATTGTTGTTTTCATTCTTTCTAATATTATTCTTGGGCCGACGCTTAGACTTTAGTTTATGTACTAGAAATGTAGCACTTGCAAGAGCACTACTATATATATATTTATTTATTTCTCAAAGACTGAGAGCTAGAACCAGGGTAGCTCACAACCTAGCCAGAGCAGAGGAATTGTTTTTTTCTAGCTGGCTTCTTAGAATAAATGAAGCTAATGCCAAACTTATAGCAGGACAAAATATTTTGATTTTGTTCCATTTCAATTCCACCTCAGTTTTCTTCCAGGCTTCAAGGTATTCCAATCACAAAATGACATGTCATAGCAACACTGTGCTACGAATCATAGGATGCCATGTAGAAATATGGGTGGTGTCCAGGATGTATAGATGTGATTTGCGGGACGATTTACACCCTCCACATCTTCACATCATCTTTACATTTTCCACACTAATACAGGAAGTCTTGTGTATATATCTCGTCTTAATTGTAAGACAAAGGCACTATTTGGATTATTTCTTCAACTTTAAGTAGATTTTACATGAGGAAGTCTGAGACAAGTTATCTAATACGTGTTCAAATGCTTTGAGTTCCCAGAGATATTGAAGCTTGGCCTAATCAGTACGATTGATACTAACCAGTACCAGTAGCCTTTTAGGAGAGGTGGGGGTTTTAGGACCATGGCAGTACAAGGTGACCGGGCTCCATTTATTGCAAAAATTTCCAAAATATAGACTAGATAAGAGAGTGAGCCACAGCCAAGTGGCCATTTTCAGCTTTTCCAGTCCTATAATTGTCATTGCCACCAGCACTTGGAATATTCTGAACGATCCCTTTTACATATCCACTCTTTTTTCTGAGAATCTGATTGGCTGCTATTCTTCATTTTCGGTGGACTGTCCATATATGCATAAACAGTTTATCAATATAGACCACCCTAGAAAGTATCTGCCCAGCCAATATACTAACAAAGTTGCCACAATCGTGTGATCTTCTTTCACCACAACATGCGTTGGCTTTCGGCAGCAGTGCGCATAAAACTTTAGTTTTGTCTCCATATGGTGGTCCATCAGCTTTGATGGGTGCACCAAAACCTGCCTATTAAGTTTTTCCATCGAAGTGAAGAAACTCATATTCTTCCTGGGCAAACTTAGGCAGAATATTGATGTAGAAACACGCTTCATACCACCAAAGCTTTCCAGACGTTGGCAAGACTTTATAGGGTATCAGGACCAGTGAGGGAATTTGGAAAAAGTGAAAGTTAACATCATGGGAATGACAGTGAAAGGGAGAAACCACATCGATAGGATTCCAATGTTAAAGTAGATAGCACATTTTATGAAAGTGCAAATATCAGGGTCATGCTGTGAAGTATAGAACCATCTTCCACGATATTACACAAGGTTAAGCAAACCAATCATCACACCAAAAGATACATGAACAATTCACAAATTTTCCTTCACAACTTCTTAAAATGAACAAACATGCACAGCAATCTTGTCAAAGTATCAGTTAGGGCAGCCCAACTGCTGTTGAGTATCCTTCACCGCCATGCTTCAATACGTTCTATCCTTGAATCTATACGGCTCAAATTGCTTATTCCTTTAGTCTTCTCAGCAGGGTTTGTTATCTGAAGAATGGATTGTTGTCCACTAATTTTACTAGGCCCCTTCTTGAGACTTGAATTACTTGATTGACCAATATTACTCTTTCCAGCATTTTCTAGAGTGCCAGGCTTCAGATAGTTAGTTACAATGGCATCTGTCTCACTGATGAAGGTTTCAACCGGAGCTGGAGTCTCCTCAGAATGATCTGCATTAGCTATTAGCTTGTGGACAGAGGGTATGGGACTGTGATCTTTTCCATCTGTTATCTCATTGTTTGGATTATAATTCCTAAAACTTTCTCTTAAAGGTTCTTCAGCAATAAAGGCCAGCTCTCTCTCTTCATCATCTTTTTCAGTATCTTGAATGCAGGAGAGTGAAGGGCTCTGGTCTCCATTCTCATCAAAAGGCTCCAGACGGGATGCAAGAGTAGGTTCTACCACTGAATCCACCCTTTCTCGCATTGTCCTTAATATAAGTGTCTTGAGGAAGTTCATCACTTGGACTGCATACATCAGTGCAGTCAAAGGATCTGCCATCTGCAACCAAAATAAGCCATGAGAGACAGCCATTGAACCAACAATAAACCCAATATGCAATCTGCATTGCCATCAAAGTTTTCTCAAATATTTGAATAGATGAGATGGGGAAGATAATTAACAAGCCTCTGAGTCACTTCTCAGTGGTAAGAAAACTGAAAAGAAACGGGGGATGAGAAGGGACTATCAATGAATTCAGAAATCCAGGAGGGAGGGACCAGGGATTATGTTGGAAATTTATCCATTCATTACAACAGTACCTGATGCTTAACACATAATTCATCAGTATCAGTGAGTAAGATATTGGACCACCAGTAACAATGAAGGAAAATGAAGGCTTTACTCAAGAGGGACCCATTTGGAAGCATAGGGCAGTGCAGTGGGCCGGGCTCCCAACTGCACTGCCCTGCACTCCCAAACAGGGCTGAAATACTTTGGGTACCCATTATGGACAGAAACTTATTCAAATGTAAATTAGATCCTCAAGAAAATCTGACTTATGAATAAGTTTATTTACCATCTCAATTTTGCTGTTGTTAATGCGAGTGGTGATGTCCTGGTGAAATAAATATATGAAATTCCAAGAATATCTCACCTGAGTCATGTTTGGTGCAAAGACCATAGCAATATTGCGTGCATTCATCTTGTTTATGTGTTCTTGCTGGACAACATCAGCCATGAGATTGATGGCCCAATCTAATAGAGCAGATTCTGTTGGGGGTAGAAGCCTTGCAAGTTCAGCACACTGCTCTTCTGTCTGGCATTGCATTACCTGCTCAGGAGATAAAGAATCCAAAACTCCATTTGGAAGTTCTCTGAACCAAGCCTAAGAATAACAAACATCAAATTAGCAAATTAGGATTTGATAAAAAAAATGGAAAAATTAAAAGAAGATATGGTTAAAGTCATTTTCCTCCAGACGTATTTGCATACGCATAAGCATAAGATGAACGTGTATACAAGAAAGAATGAGAAGCAATGTCCAAGAAAACTGTGTCCCAGAACTCAGAACATGAATGTTTCATCACCAGTCGACTGTATATGTCATGTGTAAAATATTTCTCTTCCAGCAAAAGCAAGTTTCCCAGAATCATCCTTGTGAACATCAACATAGATATTCACAGTCAAAAGGAATTCCCTGGCTGAAATAACTGCAGCCGAAAGGAAAGTTTGTTGACTTCAATTGTTGAGACCGGAAACCCGAACCAACAAGGTGAAAAGACCAGCTGAGTCAACCTTATTTGCATAAACTTGTCACTCCTCCCACTCAATTACAGTATCTTCATATGTGATAGCAATAACCACCCTTTCCCCCTCCAAGGGGGCAAAAGGGAAAAGGACCAACAGGATCATAGAAAACAATTGTTCCACCAAAAACAGGGAGTTATATTGGTTGATGACCAGTCACTTTCAAACCTTGGGAGTGGTGGTGATGCCTAAGAAATGGGGAGAGCTATTCCCCATTGTGTACCCTAAGGCCAAGGGGACCTACATGTGTAATAAACTGAAAATAATATGCATTAGTGGCTATAAAAACTCAAAATAAGTTAAATAGTGTTTTATAATTGGTAACTCAAATTAAGGAAGAGCATATTTGCTTCCCCCATAAAAAGAGTTAAAAAGCATTATGGGTCAAGGAATTGTTAAACAAGACTCAAAGATGCATCAAATCCACATTCAACTTGAACAAATATTTACGAAAGTTTCGCTTTCCTAAGTCTTGGAGTCTGAAATCAAAATATTACTCCAAAATTTGATAGGGCTCCAAGTATAAACACTGCCACATCTTCAGTAAGCCCCATAAGAAGTAATATCAAATTTTCTTTTCTTTTTCCCTTTTTCCTTACCTTACCTCATTTTCCAAAATATCTATATTGGTTTGGTAGTAACAGAGATGCACTTTGAAAAATACACCACAAGGTTGATCACTATAAAGTATTTTAATTAGAATGTCACAGTGTGTTTGCATATTTATCATCTTAAATGGCTCACCACTCTGACCATAAGTAACCTACACAATTATCACTATCAATCACCCAATTTTCAGCCTAATGAGAAACTGCTGGGAAAAAGATAAAACTAACAGAGAAATTTAAAAATTCTCTGCGATAAGTTCATCTTTCCGTTCAACTCTATAACCCCTACATCTTCATATGTATGTAAAAGAATGATCAAGTGGGATTAAATAGCATTACCGTACCTTGATTAGTCCTGCCAAACAGTGTACGTCAATCCCTTCAGGAACCACTCCACCATTCAATTGTTCTCTAACATACTCCTCCTGACTGTTTTCTGCATTAATTCTAAAAATCCCTTCTGCCTGCACATGCAAAGTCAACAGTAAAATGAACTAAGGGCATAAAACTTAAAAACCTTTAAAGAAGACCATAAAACCTAGACAAAACCAGAAATGTCTAAGAAAATAAGCCCCGATCACATAGATGAGAGAGAAAATGCTAAAAGACTTCCACATTCTCCACTATTGGAGCTATAGCATACTGAAGAGGCAAAGAAAGAATACCTGCAAGCCTCCTTGAGCATACAAACGTCTTTGCATTAGCAAGAGTATTGTTGGCACACTGTTCCCTCTAGAGTCATAGGACAACTGCATGGATTCTGTGGAAACTCCAAAGACAGTTGTACTACCCAAAAAAAAACAAATTATGGTGTCAGGTATTGATCAAGAGAGACTGTCTTCAGGTGTCATGGTTCTACACATGCCATGAATTTCATATGAGTTACATGGAAGAAATAAAGTTTTTCAGAGGTGATGCTAACTCTGGTAGAGATTAAGAAGACTAGTCAGTATCATTTCCAGTTTCAAACAATCAAAATCAAATATTTCAACATTTGGCGTGGATGTATATGTGTGTTCATGGCAACTCCAACTCAAACTTTTAAGAAT